AATGGTCACTGTTCAGCTATCAAGAAACAACTAGATCTAATGATCTGGTAATTTCTGATAGCTAAGCAGTGTACTATTATTTCAAGATTTATTTTACATTTTTACGTGATTTATTGGATATTTACAAGTTAAAAATACCTTTTTGTTAAATACCTTTCCTTTTTGTTAAATACCAAAGTTAAATACCTTTCTGGATTTTTTACAAGTTTTAAGAATATGAAAATATCATGTTTTCAAGGAAAAAGTACAGGACAAAGCTATAAACTTGAACTATAAGCTAACGTAAGAAACTTTTTACATATCATTTCTTGCCTCTGACGTCATAATTCAATATGGTTGCAGAAAGACAACTGAGCCTTAAAAAATACTTGTAAATATTCTAATATTTTAATTTTAATAATAGAGTGAATAAAAAGAATTATTAACTTAATTTCATTTTATTAATGTATGTTATACACATAATTATTCATTATAATAATATATTTTTCAAACGTATTTGTATTTTTACTTTGTAAAAATATGACATTTTATTTCATATTATAATATTGTATAATATGTATACAAAAAAGATAAAAATATTTTATACATGATTTTCAAATCTTATTGTTTAATTTTATTAAATTTTTTATCAAGATCTATTTGAATAATATTTTAATATAGATGATGTTCTAATTTTAAATAAAAAATAAAATTAATAAAGATGCGCACACGTGTGTTTGTGTATTTTGTATATGTATGTAAAATGTTATACAAGATCAGTTATTGTTTTATATATATATATTCAGTATTTTACAATTTTGTATATATTGTAATTTTGTATATATTGTGTATATTATATAAAATTATTATTATTAGTCCTTAATATAGCTTCCTAAACTAAAAAAATTATCCATTTAAAGCAGGCAATTAAGAGATCAAAGATTATCTTTCAACTTATATTCTATTTTATTAATTGTGATTAATTATGATATATATTTATAATAATAAAATTAGACATGTTGTTATACATATATTAAGTTGTTTCATTATCTCATAAAAATTAAATTAATTGAATGTTATAAAATTTAAAAATAATAAGAATTAAACATTGATCATTGATTGATATTTATCTACTTTTAAAGAACTATAAAAACATTAATTTACTTTTAATATATTAAAATTATATGGAAAAACTTTCATTAATATATATACGGATATATTTGTATGCATGCGCGCGCGCGCGTGTGTGTGTATGTGTGTTTAATATTGATACCATGGTTGACGACGCACCCAGCGTAATTTCATACCAGAAGCTGTACGAATCTTTATGCTAGCACATTCTGCTGCACGTACCGTCTCTTTCACGCTTTGCATAAGATTTTGAGCATTCCCGACAAGCATGTCCGTCGCTTCTTGATCTTCTTCTGTACCTATATGTTCACAAAAATAATAATTAAATAGATGAAGTTGGATGAATATCTCTTCAATATATTCATATTTTTAACACATATTTTTTTAAATAAATTTCTAAAACTCTCATAATCACTAGATTATAAAATTATATTTCTACTGTTGAAATGATAATGTTTCATCTAAATTCAAAACTATTAAATAACAATCATATAAATGAAATAAATGATAAATTAATACACAATGATATAAATAAAATTTCATTTTACACTACATAATTTCTACAAATATTTTTATAACGTAAAAAGTAAAAAAGAAACTTTATTTACAGTAAAATGTATGTTATTTAAATGTAATATATAATTACCAA